CACACACGCTGGAGCTGCTGCCAGGGGGTTTCTGAAATTCTGGGTGAATGGAAACAGAGCCAAAAGAGAACAAAGAACTGATGATGAGATCAATCACAGAGTGTCAACGGTGCTGGAACTGGATGACAGACCGTTTAGAACACGGTTGGTTCTGTTATCAGACGGTGACAAGTCGTCACTCAGACACCACCGCTGGGTATTTCCTACCATCAGCATCCAGGATGTGGGCTGGGAAGCATCTGATTTTCAAAATGTTAATGCAACATCAGTAAAATTAATTTTAAAAAATCAAGTGGAAAAAAAAATGAACCATTGAAGGTTGACAATAAAAAGTACCAGTGCATTTTATGGCAGAGAAAAACACGTTATCAGAATCCAATCAGTGGTGCAGGGTGAGGAGGAGGAGGAGGAGGAGGAGGAGGAGAGCATATTGCAGTGAGGCAGAAGAGTGTATGAAGTGGAAAAAGGAGGTGCAGTGTTAGAGTAAACTGGAAAAAGGAGGAGGACGGAGATTAGGAGACGAGGAAGGGAGGGAGGGAGGAAAGGAGTGGAAGAAGAAATAGTGTAGAAACAAATGAAAATGTTAAGTGAGTGTGAGTGTGTGTGTGTGTGTGTGAGACCCTCGGTGGGGAAGGGGAAAAACAAGGGGACAGTTGCAGCATAAATGAGTGGCTGAGTGGTGTGAAGAGCGAGAAGGGGGGAGAGAGGGGGAGACAGTGGCTCTGTGGGGAGATTATTACAGCCGTGCAGAGTCGGAGCGAGATGCGTTAACACTACAGCAGCAGCAGTAACAGCAGCAGCAGTAACAGCAGCAGCAGCAGTAACAGCCAGCAGCAGCAGCACTCTCTCTCTCTCTCTCTCTCTCCCTCTCCAGAACCCGCTCACAACAAAGGCTGCTGTGATTTAGTGGTCGGTGGGAACAGTTGGACTGAAGCAGAGGAAGAATCTGAGCCACAGCAACACTGAGGAGAGACTGAAGAAGAGGAGGAAACAAAGGAGCAGAGAAGGAGAGCTGAGAGAGGAGCAGTGTTGGACTGGAGAGGAGGAGAGACACTCAGGTAGGAGACAAACACTCACACTAACAAAAAAGAGTTTTTCCCCTCAGATCAAACAGTGATGTTGAAGCCAAATCATCAGAGTCATTTCAAAGAAACAGGAAGGTAGAGAGAAGCCCTCGGCACAAATGTTTTTCTGTACTTTGCCAATAGGTGGCCTCGGGGCAGCAGGTGACAAACGAGACCAGTGTGTGGAGAGATTACACACACACACACACACACACCTTAGGCGAAACAAAACCCACTAGACTTGAAAAAGAAAACGTACATGTGCTGTCACAATGTTGCACCACGTCTTCATCTACTGTTTGAAGAGTTTACCTGGTGATAAGTGATGTCATCTGCTGCAGAAGGACCTGCAGGCGTTCACACATGTCCAACAGACTGCGATCAATAAGTGGGCTCAGAGTGAGATACATGTAGAAGACAGAGGAGCGACAGGCGCTGGCTGACAACCAGGAGCGTCTGATTGGTGCACCTGTGTGAATAAACCATGAGGTGGCGATCACGCAGTGACAGGGCGACTGTGAAGGAAACAGAAACAGAAAGAAACCTGTTAATACGAGAGTGAGACCGAGGTTCAGCTTCAGTTTTTATATCTGATTCATTTATGATTAAAAAGCATTAGTCTCACAGTGTTGTTGTAAAAGTATCTGCTTAGTACTGCAGTATTGAAGTATTTCACTTCAGATTTAAAGTACTCTGATCGTAACACGTTTCTACAAGTGTCCTCTGTTTTATGGACTTCACCGTCTGGTAGAGATTTACAGAGAAAATGTTTATGTGAGAGCTGCAGCAGTCTTAGCCCCGCCCCACATGCTCTCATTGGTCGAGACACAGGTGATACTGGTTCCAAAACCGTACTAATCAACAACAATCAGAGGCAGGAAAGTTACAGACTAAAAGTTGCATTAGCGCACAATTGCATAAAGTTATTATTAATAACGTGATCCTCGTGTGTGTGTGTGTGTGTTTCCAGTGGGGTCACATTTTGGTCTCCTAATGAAAGTCATTAAGACTTCCTGTGGTCAAGTTGCGGAGAAGTTCAAACTTCCTGCTGTACGTCAGTGCGTGGAGGTGAGGTCGGGGTTTCTGTTCAGGTCACAGCCAATCAGGTTCCAGCAGATTTTACAGCTGCCAGTGTGAAAAGTGGAAACTGGTTTAGGAGCTAAAAGGAGAAACAGATTGGTCCACACTGCCCCCTGATGGTGAAAATCTCCCACCCTAGTTTAATCGACGTGTGCAGGACTAAGATGTGTGCTCAGCACTAATGTTGTGTCACCCCTCTCACCCCTCTCACCCCCCCAGCCACTCCTCCCCAACACCAATACCATTAACCAGATCTGCTGACCTTCTTGGTCGTCCACGATGTGTGTCCAGCTGAACACGTTACTGATCCTCGGCCTGACAGTCACAGGGGGGTAAGTCACCTGAGGCGCACACACAAACACACACACAGGCCGTCCTCCCTATATTGAACCAAAATGCTAATCACCTGCTCGTCTTTGTGCCCCCCCCCACCTTCTTCAGTGCCTGTATGTTTCATAACCACCACTGGGGCGAATGGAACGACTCCCAGCTCCAGCCCACCATCCAGAAGCTGATGAAGGGTTACAACAGATACCTGCGGCCCAACTTTAACGGTAAAAAGAAGAAGAGTTTGTGTTCAGGCTGTAACAAAGCAGAGGTCAACTGAGGTCAACTCTGCCCCCATTCCTCCCCCCCAATTGAAAACAGTATCTGTGTTTGACAGAGGGCCCGGTGGAGATTGGAATGAGCCTGGACATCGCCAGCATCGACGCCATCTCTGAGATCAATATGGTATGGATCACATCGCTCCTCACTAAATTACCCAGAAAGCGCGTGAATAAATGTGCAATAAATCAGAGCCAGTGTGAATGAACACGTTCTAACGTCTCTCCAGGACTACACCGCCACCATCTTCCTCCGTCAGCGCTGGCGTGATTCCCGGCTGGTTTTCCCGGGGAATGAGAGCGTGAGCCTGGACGGTCGCCTGGTGTCGCTGCTCTGGATTCCTGACACCTTCATCCCTGACTCCAAACGCTCCTTCCTGCACGATGTCACCGTGGAAAACCGTCTCATACGCATCTTCAGCAACGGCACCGTGTTATACGCCCTGCGGTAATTGTCCCTGATTTACCATTGGATTTTCAGAGCATTGATTTGACATTTACTGCTCTTTTGTTCCACTTCTGCCACTGATGGGTTTTCAGGAAAGTGTCCAGAAAAAGTCAGAGTGAAGTGATTGATGTTAGAGACAAATGATGAGGAGTGGGTTCAATCAGCTGCAGGATTGGTCCTTGTGGTAAAGTGGGATGTCATCTGGAGTTTCTAAAGGTCAGGGCGACCTGCAGATTGAAACAAATGTGAGACTCCACTGTTTACTCCCCCCTTTAAATGGGTGATGGTAGCTACCCTGGATCCTAGAGAATTGTCTTTCTTGATCACAAAGTGTGGGTCACACCGTGGACTGCTGTCCAGTCCAGTCCAGGGTCAAATACTTATATGTTCAATGGAGAGTGAAAAGTTAACCTAACCCCCACCCCAGAACTCACATGCAGAGACAGGAGAATTTCATACAGAGAGAAAGGGAATCAAACCGACAACCTTTCACCTTTTTGCTGTAAGGCAAGAGCACTAACCACACCTTCCACTGTGCATTCCTCAAAAAGGATTTATGGACACCAGCTGTAACTATTGTATGCATATCACTAGTTGTAATCGGGCTCCCTCTAGTGGTTCCCTACGGATTAGTTAATTCTTTCATAGACTGGACTACGGTCTATAAATAAGAGAACTTCATTCTTAAAGTTAAATAATCAAACAGTATGAATGTAACACAGGCAGATGTTTGGACTCTGACCAGTCAACCGTCACTAACACTGTACCTCTGAACACCACAGCATCACCGCCACCATCGCCTGTAACATGGACCTGACCAAGTATCCCATGGACAGACAGGTGTGCACTCTGCAGCTGGAGAGCTGTGAGTAAAACCTGTGAGCCCCCCATCAGCCTCCACCCCCACCTCCACACTGATGGTGTCCCCCATCATCCTTGTTTCCATCATTTCCATTCTCATGGCCGTCACTGTGCTGCCGTGAGTATCTGTGTCCATTTGAAACAATCCAAACTGTCAGGTGTATTTAAAATGATGTATTTGTAAAATAATTTCCAGTTAAGAACAAACAGACCTTTGACTAGATCGGTGGTTCCCAAAGTGGGGGGCAGACCCCTCTAATGGGCACAAAGCTATTGTAAGTGTGGGAAAATTAATAATAATTATAATAACTGGGTTTTTTTTGCTGTTTAATGTTTATCTTCACTGTAGAACCTGTGGTTGGACGACTGTTGTGGATGTAATTCTGTGTGTGTGTGTTCAGGGGGCTACAACCTGCAGGACGTGGTGTTCTACTGGACCAGAGGGAATGATTCGGTGAAGGGTCTGGACACACTCCGATTGGCCCAGTACAGCGTGGAGAGTTATTACACCACCGTCACAGAGGCTGTGTACGAAACAGGTAAAACACAATCAATCAAAAACGCCCCGTCTGGTTAGAACACAGATTTAAAGACAGATTAGAATGTGGCTCAGTCACAAAGTTCTGAGACAAATGTAAAAACAATGGAAACAGTGGAAAAATATGGACCAGAACTGATTCTGGTCTTTACCATCAGACAATCGTAGAAATGATAAACATCTGTATGAGGACTTTCTGACTGACCCTGGTGTTTCCTGTCTCTGTCATTTTCTCTGCAGGACAGTACCCTAAGCTAGTGCTGCATTTTGCCCTGCGGAGAAACGTGTTGTTCTTCATCCTGGAGACGTACGTTCCCTCCGTTCTGCTGGTGGTTCTCTCCTGGGTCTCCTTCTGGATCAGTCAGTCCTCAGTGCCAGCTCGGACCTGCATCGGTCAGTATTATCTCTGCACGTAACGAGGGCAAAGTTAGAACAGTTCAGTAGAATCATGTTCATTTTCACGCTCCCCACTAACACAGAAATTAGCTAACGATTGACTGAATGATTAATGCAGTACTACTGCAGTACCTCAACACCAGCTGCAGGTTTACAACATGTGGCTGTTCAGCGGTTATAAGAGTTCTGAGACCGTAAGGTTTGAAGTCTAATGTTTGTTCACACACACACGGAGAAACACAGACACCAAATACAGAAATGTTATTTTTTATTATTTTATTAGAAGTAGTTTCCTTTGTACTTGCAGCAGTAGTCGTTCTTCCCAACTGTAAGAAATCAATTTATCCTTCTTTTACATTGACATTTTATCTGGCACCAACCAATGAAGCACTCTGGCTCCCCCTAGGCAAAACGTTAGGTGGTGCAAACTTTGCAAAAAGGGAAAAAAAACTGAGCACCAAAAGAAGAATCATGTGAAGGATTTATGCTCTGTTCCGCAGGAGTGACCACAGTCCTGACCATGACCACTCTGATGATGGGGGCCAGGACCTCCCTGCCCAACGCCAACTGCTTCATTAAGGCCATAGATGTTTACCTGGGCATCTGCTTCACCTTCATCTTCGGGGCCCTGCTGGAGTACGCCTGCGCTCACTTTTACACCATGGAGCACCAGACGGTGGGAGACATAAAGAGGGTGAGCAGTGAAGCTCGAGGTTGAAAAGATCTGGGGGCTGGGGGGGGGGCTTATCTGTGCTCTGCATCAGTGCCTGTGTCTTCTCTGTGGCAGGAGATCCAGAGGGAGTTCAATGAAACCAACGGGAACGCCTCCCTCCCCATCATCAGGTCGACTCAACCAAACCAGTCTGTGGAAATCAGCTCCACCGCTGAGGAGACCTCGCAGCAGCCGGTAAGGAAAGAGGCCAACACCCCCGAGGGGTCCAAGGAGAAAATTGCGGACCACGAGTGCGGCCTGTCTTCGGTGAAGGAAGCCGCTCGCAGAGCAGCCGCTGTCCTCACTGTGGAAAATCCACACAACATCGACCGCCACGCTCGCACGCTTTTCCCTCTGGTGTTTCTGTTCGTCAACATTCTCTACTGGCTCTACTATCTCTGTCTGTGAGCGCCGCCGTCGACCTGCCGCTCGGTTCACGTCTCCATTCGCCGGCTGCTCTACCTCCTCATCCTAGAACCTAAGACCAGTCTGTGCTGTCTGCAGGATCAGAACCGACCGTGGAACAGTTCCTCCAGGTTGATTTTCAACATTAACGTTCTTCTGCTTCAGCTACATGTTTATGTCTGCTTATAAAAATGGCCTGGGCTGCACCGCACCTCTCTGTACTGAACTGCCTTCTTCAATGACTGATGTGAAAGTGTTCTCTTGTAGTGTTGGCGTCCACCTGTATGAGACCGTATTAAAACTGAACAGAAATTAAAACATCAGTAGCTGATAAAACATGTTGGTAATTTAATGAAGAAAAAAAAGTTTGTGAAATCAATAAGTTTCCTCCTTTGGTAGAGGAAGAATAAAGTGCAAAAGAAAAACAGCAAACAAAAAAAAAAGAGGGGGGGAGAGAGAGAGGGAGAGAGAGAGCGTGTCTCCTCTACGGTGTACTGTATGCAGATGAAGAAACTTTTGTTTTCAGACTAAATAATTTAGAAGTCAATTCAGCTTTGACCTGAGAAGCTGCTGCTGAGTGCAATCAGAGAAATAAATATAGAATCGAACCCCAGACCGACGGCACCGAGCTCAGGAGACGACGATAAAAGAATAAAAGTATGAAGTTTTAGATTATAGCGTCGTGGCTCAGACTGTAAAAGCATTAGAAACTGATGTAAAGTCATGTTGTGGCACATGCCCCCGCCCCCCCCCACAGTTCACACTCATCATACACTGTGAGGTAACTGTGTCTCTTCTTCCCATCGTGACTTTTCTGTACCTTCTGTTTCTTTTCTCCTCACTTTCATTTACAAACCAAAACGATCGACCTAATTCTGGTCTGGTTCTACTTTAAGTTACCAAAGACTGAGGTGATGTCCATATGTCCCTCACATTTGGAGAAGTCCTCTTCAGGAGACTGAAGGTAGTGTCCTGTGGGATTTACATCCACCTAGTGGCCGATTTCTTTTATTACAGTTTATTTCCGTGTCCTTGGGTTTGGTTGAGGGGCCTCACTGCTCCTAGGTTCCTTTCTTTGACTCCCATTCCTGAAGAAACAGAAAAATTAAAAGATATGACTTTTCCTCAGAAGGTTCTTGGTTCGACACTCTGACAGGACTGTGGTGAGAAGTAAAAGAATCCAAATATAAAAAAAAAATCTGATGAATGATCAAATTAAACTGACCTGAATATTAAACATATTGGTCCATAATCAGAATATTTTTATTTTGAGAAATGACTGGATTCTGAATTAAAAACATCTTCAGACTCATGTGAGGAGTCAAAACAAAAGTCTATGTAGAGCAGCCTTCACCTTCAAAATAAAAGATAAAAGTTCTAACCCCTCGACCTCTGGAGAACATGTGCTGCTCACTGTAGGCTGAGCTTGACCTTGATGACCTTCAGATTGTTTTGATATCAGTCCTATCAATTTATTTGGTCATGTTTTGTGCGACTGCCTCTCCTCACTCTGATGAAGTGATTCATGCTGCTACAAAGACAGTCGTGAACAGTCACACGTGGATGTGTCCGACTGTAAAAACCCAGAGTGAGGTCACGACCCGGTCAGACTCCTGTGGATCTGACACAGGTCTGTGAGGAGCCAGTAGAGACATCACTTGTTCTCCTGTTACCTTGGCCTTCTGCATGACTGTTCCTGAGGAAGCATACACAGATGGCGGCCTCCTCTTCATTTCTAAGGCACAGTTCACTGGTAATGAGTCACTGTAGATGTTCTGGCTCTTTTTACTGGAAAGCTGCACAGAAACATTCAAGTGTTTTTAATGAAAATACAAATAATCACAGGCTTTTTTTCCTTCACAACAGAAATCTTGTAAACAGACCTTCAGTGGGGGTTTAGCCTCCACTGGTGCCCCCAGTGTACACCCTGCCTGACTCTTCTTCAGGTTCTCCTTGACCTGCGTGAGGCGGAGCTCCAGGTCAACTCTCTCTGCCTCCTTTGCTCGACAGGCGTCTTCCAGGTGAGACAGCTGTTTGTTGAGGGAGGACTTTCTCAAGTCTGCATTTCAGAAACACAGAGACAATAATCTCAGACTGAACAGCTCAGACCTTCATGTTGGCCCTGAGATGATTGTGGGGAAAACAGGACGAATAATCTCTCATTGTAAAATAATACTACTTCTAAAGACAATTTGTAGGGGGGGCAGTTGGACTTAGATTCTGTTCTAATTCATTTGATGAGTGACCAGTCATTGGGTGAAACTTTCGTTTTCTACCATATAGTAGGAGTGTAAGAAATCATCAATACACTGATATTGATGATATTTCGCTTCCTGATACCGTATCAATATTGTCCATCACTGTATTGATGTATACATATACCCGCCCCCCCCCGTTGTCTCCTCACCTGGGGCCTCCCTCAGCTGCTCCTTCAGCTCCCTCCTCTCCTGCCGTAGAGTCACCAGTGCATTCCGTATCCTGTCCTTCTCCCTCTCCAGCTCCTCCTTCTCTCTCAGGTAGTGCCTGGCGTCCTCTTCTGCCCGTGTTTTCCCATACCTGCCATACTGGTTGGCATCTGCATGGGAGCAAAGGTTAAGAGGTCAGACGTGCAGAGTTCGTGGGAAGAAGTCTTCACACTTGACAGCAATTTTCATGCATGTTCCTTTTACTGCCATGGTCCTCACAAAAATGTTTTAAGATAACGCCACCTTTTGGGGATAAATGGTACAAGACTCACTCCACAAAAACACCGTCAAATATAACAGACACACACTTGGAGTGAAGTGCTGTATATGCTATTGAGACGGTGAGGAGTGATTCAAAGACTGTGAAAGTAGTGGATGAGCAGCAGTGAAATGAAGCTTTAGAATCTGCAGAGTGACGTTGACAAAATGAGCCAAATGTCAGAGCAGGCTGTTAATCCCATTATTTCATACTCTGCTTTTTTTTTAAGTAGATATATGAGCAGCAGAGAATCACAGTCGCAGATAATGTGTCATTTATTTACTAACTGGTCAAATGACCTATGATGAGTTCTTTACTCATTACCAAGTAGATCTATAGCATACATCTACACAACAACAAACTGAATTGTTCAACTGAGTAAGTATGAAGTAGCTGTTAGCACAGAGGCTGTAACTGACCATCCATCCATCTGTCTGTTGTTCCACATTCTCTCCCTCTTATAGAGGTTTCTGTTACAGTGAGTCTATGTGAACCAACCAGAGACACTCACTGGAGCCATTTCTCTTGAGTGACACTGAAGGTTTGGTTCTGTCCGTGTCACTGCTGGAGAAACTTGAGCGGCACTTCCCCTGATTCCCAGACTGCTGCCTGTGGTTCTCCCCCGACTGGGTGGAGTAATGGGAGGGAGGGGGAGGAGGAGGGGTTGTGACAGATGTAGTAAGAACAGGGAGAGGGGGAGAGAGGGAGGAAAAAAGACAGAGCAATAAACTAAACCATAGATTTATGGGGTCAGGACCACTGCTCTGTGTCTGTGTGTGTGTGTGTCAGTGGAGTTAACAGAGAGGTTTACAGGTGGTGAAAACACCTTCATCACCAAACTCCCACCTTTTTTTTTATCTTTTATTTCCTGCCCACACAGTAGTTCTACTCTGGTCAACAATTACTGACCGTCAGTTACTGAGCGTCCTGTAACACAGCTCTGTGTCTGACACTGATACGTAGGCTCTTAATCAGACCAGTAGTCTGACCAACAGCTGCACACACAGACACAGCAGTGAATCAAGTCTCGGTGATAAAATCCTGTGGATCAAATGAGTCGTACCTGCAGCTCCTCGTGAGGGACCTCATCGTAGGTTCTGGAGTCTCCACCGCTGGAGGAGGTGGCCCACCTGTGAGGAAATATGAGTACGGTCAGGGCACCACTGCTCTGGTGGCCGGCCCCGCAGTGACCTTGCGTAAATAACTCTCCCCTAGTTACTCCCCCCTTCACAGTCTCACTCACAGAAAAGAATTACGGGCTGCGTCGCGGATGTTAGCGATGGTTTCCACATCAACGTAGTCGTAGTGCAGAGACTCTGGGTCTGTGGCCGAGCCCGTCTCTGCCAGGAGGACGCCCAGCCACTGACCAAGTTCCTCAGAGCTGCTGGCCTGGAGGGCAGAAAGGCAGATTTACAAAGACAGGAAACCACTGACACGTGGGATCATCTTCATCCAAATAAACTTCATCAAAACTCTGTAAAAAAGCAACATTAACAGATATACATATATATATACACGTATGTATATGTAAACATGCAGTAAACTGTTCGTCCATGAACTAATACACAGACTCTACCTCCAGAGCAGCCACCGCTGTGCTGTTGCAAAGTATCCGGAACGCAAAGGGATGTTTGGGTCCAAGTCCTGGCACCACCTCACAGCCCTGGAGGGGGAGGGAGGGCAGGGAGGTGCGGGAGTCTGCCTTGTCGAGGTAGAAAAGCAGGAAACCTCTGTTCACACAGCACCACTGCTCCCGCCACACCTGATTCACCAGCACCGACAGGTAGCCTGTGTGGGGGGTTCGGGAGGGGGGGGGTGACTAATCTGTACAATTTGAAGAAATATACTGTGTGAAATATACAGGGATGTCTGACCTTGACCAGGATCACTGCAGGAAGTTCGAGGGTCTCCCGGCCGAGGAGGCTTCTTTTTGGAGAAGCTAATGATGCGTGTGATTTTACGGCCCGCAGCGAAAGCTCCTCGTTTGACCTTACCTTCAAAGAACAACAGGACAGAAGACATTAACAGACGGACTGAGGCTTCATCCACTGGAATAATAATCTGTCTCACAGAGACACCCAGTGTTGGTGTGATCATCAGTCTACAATGTAAACATTCACGTCAACAACTCAGCTCTGAACATTTAAAAAGGAAGTCAGATGTTTGTGAAGGCTGTGAACATGGCGTTGAACCAGAGACCTGTGTTTTTTATTACTTCAGTGGAATGAATACCAGATTGTACTCTGTCATTTACGTTCAACACCCAACTCTGCAATCATTTACTCCTAAAGCCCCTCCACCCACTTCACACAGAAAAACTGTACCCTAGAGCTGAACGAGTCATTTAAATACAGCAATTATTTAAATTACAAATACTGTAATTAAAATGTTCCCACTCTGATTGTTCTGGGTTCAATTATTTCATTTAATTTGATAATATTTTACTGAGCTTCAAGTCTGAAGAGGAGGAGGAAACCTGGAATGAACTGGATTCAACCAGACCCACCAGTTCCTCCACCTGTACCTACAGCTCCTCCCTGTGGTCACTGAACTACAGCCAACAGTCAGAGGTAAGAATGATGACAGACCAGACCAATCAATCACAGACACACTATATATCACAGGATTCATGTCAATACACACCCCTAACATACACACGTATACTGTGAACACACACACGTGTACACACATGTGAGTACTCAGGGTGATACTGGAGTGTGTGGTGACCTGAACGGGTGACGTCAGTGCGTCCCCCCCCCCCTCACCGTTGTCTCTGCCGTTGTCTCCTGCAGACACGGCCACACTGTCAGAGTCAGACGTGTTCCTCTCAGCTGATAACCTCTGGTGAAGATGTTCAGACACAGGTTAGAGTTCCACAGTGAGGCCGTCTGCCTGACTATAATCACAGCTGCCTCACCCTCTGTCCTCACCCTCTGTTTTAATACCACAGTTATTTCATGAGCTCATACTTAAACCAGCATCTGTCTGTCACAGAGCCCCCGCCCCATCACCTCTACCTTTACACCTCATTGTTCCACATTCTCTTCTTTGTCCAACCCCAGTCATCTCTGCTCTGTGGCAGGTCTACAAACTGACCTGGCTGTAAAACACCTCACCCATACGTTCTCCCCCGCTCTTACCTTGTCAAGATCAGTTTTCCTGGGACTGACAGGAGATGCAGATTCCTCGGGGCCCGAGCTCTGACCGCACACTTCTCTGACAACCTGAGGGAAGATTTGTTTTAACACATGTCAAACTGGATTTTACAACAAGTCCCATTTGAGTTTTTGCCAAACCCACTTCCAGCCATTATCAGCATGACTGCTGGCTGTGTTCTGTGTAACTGCATCCATATGTTTGTGTGTGTGTGTGTACAGTGCAGGGTGCAGCTCACCCCCATCCATCTGTGGGCCTGTTCTTTGCTCTGCACTGCCAGTACCAGTGCATCACCGTTGGGTAGAGTGAAGCGCAGCTCGTGGTGCTTCCTCTTGCTGTCCTTGGGTGCATAGACCACAGTGCACTGGGGCAGCAGCATGTCCACATAAGGAGAGGTGTCTTTGGAGCTCTTAAAGCACTAGATGTACAGAACAAATTAGGATTAGAAAACTTTTCAGTAAAGAAGCGTCTTCTAAAGGAATGAAACATTTTTACTTTTCCATTGAGTTAGAAACAGTGAAGGGCCGGAACATTACAATCATACCACCGGCTGGATTTGGCCCGCGGTCCGTATGTATGTTGTACAGGGGTGTCGAACACCTCAAGCTGAGATGGTCCAACAGTGAGTTGGACAGAAGTGAAGCCTCTCACCTGAAGTCTGTTCTCTCGTATGACCGTCAGCTGTTTGGCCCACTGGCCGAAGCGTTTCTTTCGCAGCAGGAAGGCACAGATGCGACAGTCTCTGGCAGGGGGCATGGAGCTCTCCTCTGAAGGCCACTGATGGGTGAGTCTGATGCCAGGACTCCTCTCCTCCTCGTCCTCCTCATAAGACTCGTAGGAACTGCTTAGAGCGTCAGAGTCATTGTCTGGGGGGACGAGGGGGGGCAGTGAGAGAAAAGTCAGGTGACTGCTCATGTGTCAGAACAACGTAAGAATGAAACATCTGAGGAAACGTGTGTTCTTCACTCACATGAGTTTTTACGGTGTGAAGTGATGCAGGTGCTGGGGTCGCTGTTCTCCGCATCTTCATAGCCATTTTCGATAGAGTTGGGGGGGCTGGACCGAGCTGAAAATGGAGAAACCAAAATGTGATGGATGTTTGAATTTAGTCATGCGGTAAAATCGTTCAACTCAGAGGCAGCTGAGAGGATGCTGACCTCGCGTGTTGATGATGTACTCGGGCATCTTGCCCGGACTGAGGGGCACCGCCTCCTCGTAATACTCCTCAGGAGGGGGCGTTGTGGGCAGAGGGGGAGGAGAGTCAGCTAAGTGTGGGGCTGTGGAGTCTGCAGAACTCTGTCAAAGAAAACGCACAAACATAAACATCACTCTCAAGTTTCCTCCACAACTATTATAATTTTCTTTTTACTTAACACCAAAAAAAAAAAAAAAAAAAAAAAACCTTCAACAAAGAGACGGTGAGTACAGGCCCCGAAAGAAGCTCGTAAAAAAAAAAT